TGACCGACTGAGAGTTAATGGTTGAGGTTGTAGTTGTGGTTGAGACTTGGTACTTATGTGTCAAACCTGATTGTCTTTTTGGGTTCCTGCATTTTCGGGCATTGTACATTGCTAAGAAGTAGCTCTAAGGTTCATTCTTGTAGCAATTTTGGATTAGTGTTGCATTATATGTTTAGAATTGGACAGTGATATAGATATGTGTCTAAGTTTGCTGAGGACTTCACTGACTTGGTTAGAATGCATATCAAAATCACACCTTCTAATTGGTCTGTATCTTAATAACCCTATCTAATATCCTTATCTCCACCACATATATTTGAATAACAAAACGTTTGAATATTTAATTTAACATTAATTGACTGAAACACTAAGTTCTTAACAAATTAAAAACTACAATATGTAGCAAACTTTCTATATAAAATTAAAAGTCAGAGTATAAATGTATTTTTATACTTAAATAGTCTCCAGCACATAGGAATTACTTCACTTGGAGAAAAAATATACCTTTGACCTTTCCCAAGCTCCTTTTCTTATCCCCTTTGTGAGGTTGGTTACCACAACAGATCCCACAACCGTAGCTTCACCACCAGAGTAGCCTACAATTCATAACAACAAGAATGGTAATAATGCAAGGATAGATAAAGAACAACCTCCAAAGAAAGCCATTACCCAAAATTTAAAGCTTACTCTTAACATTGTCTGCAGGCTTTTCAGCCTCAATTTTTAATAAGTACTACTGTAAAGTTGTTAGTTGCTACTTCATTTTTCAAAATATTGTAAGTCCAAAAGTTGTTGCCTTTACATATTTAAGTGGGTAAGTGTAATAATCTTGATTTCTTGCTTCATGTTTTAACTTGTTTTAGAGGTTTCTGACTTTGTCAAATGTAATCTTGGAATAATATTGGAAGAAATTGAATTTGTAAGTTGCTTCTTCTATTGTCTAATATATATAGTCCAATGACGTGATGTCTTTACATATTTACCTGGGTAAGTTCAAAGATATTGATTTCTTGCTTCATATGTTCCCTTTCTAGATGTTTATTACTTAGTCAATATACTCTGTATCAGATTGGAAGACTTGATTTCTGAAGTTGTTTTTTTATTATTTTTTTTAATATATAGTTCATAAAAATTAGCTGCTTTTACAACTTAGTTGGATGTAAGTGTAGTGATCTTGATTTCTTGCTTCAAATGGAAGAAATATACAATCTGATCATGTTGTTTTATTCATAAAAGTTAGTTAAAGTTGTTCCATTACTTTTATTCCTTTGAAAAAGTAATGGAAGTATAATCAAATCATGTTGTTTCATTCAGAAGTTTAAAATTGTTAATAAATTTATTTATCCTCTTTTGTAGGTAGAGTAGATCAAGAAATGGATGATGAAGAAGAACTAGACCTTACTTGAAATAGAATTTTGAATTGTTATAGATGAATGTTCTAGGAATCTTTTGTTATCAACATTTTTGAAACTTACTTACTCTCTTGAAATGTACTAAACTTATGCACTTGGGGTACAACATTTGCTTTATGGATATTATTTTACTGAAGGATAATTTTATATTATTACTAGTTTCATTTTATGATGTATTTAAAAACTAGTGTTATTATTATTTTGTTATATATATAAATATTTGTTTATAACAGGTGCTATATTTTGGTTTTAATTGAACTGATACAATAGCCTACCAGAACCGTTGCAATAGGATACAAATAACATTCCAGTAGACAATGTAAACCGTTGCAATAGATCCTATAAAATATTCCAAATTAATCTATAAACCATTCCAAATACAAATATAACCGTTGCGATAGCTTACAGAAACCGTTGCTATATCCATACATAACCGTAAAAATAGCTTACATAAGTGTTGCTTTAAATAATATGGTAGCGGTTAAGAACCGTTGTGCAAACAATATAGTAACGGTTTTAAACCGTTCCAATTGAAAAAAATAAACGTTCCAACAGAGAAAGTGAAAACCGTTGCGATAGACGTATCTATAGTCACGGTGATGCAAACCGTTACACGAACCGTTCCAATAGGCCTATTGGCACACGAGGGGATGTAACGGGTTATAAACTATTCCAATATACCTATGGCAATGGTTTGACAATCTAGGGGAACGGTTGTCCAACCGTTACTATAGACCAATTTTTCAGTAGTGATTACAGGCTCAAAGGAGTTAACTAGGATATACACAATCAGGTTGGTGAAAACAATAGATAAGTTCAACAAGGAAACACCTATATCACTTTCCAACCCAATTAAGACTACCATTTCGCTTCGTAAACACACAGGGCAAGTTCTAGGCATTAAGTGTTAGCATAGAATACGCAATGCTTCACTCACACATGGCACATGACTCAATTCAGTTAGGATCATCAGACACTCTGCTAAAGATGCTTAAGCCAACTCAAGAACATACAAGTTAAGGCTTTATTGCTAGAGTCAACTAATGAGCCTAAGTGTCACACTAAATCAATCTTTATTCAAGATATCATGGAGTTAGGGGATCCTATTTCTATTCTTCGCCCAAAAATTCTACTCTAAAAAACATAACTACACCTGGTTCAAATGGAAACCCTTGGAAAAGAACCGAGATTTAAAAAAAAACAAGGGAGAGTTGATACACTACCTAACAAACGAAAATCTTTTGTTTTTTTTATTTATTTTTTTTGTTCGACTTAAGTCCCTCAAGAGACCCGTCGAGAGGTGTCCGTCTTCGTCCAAGTCGCAGTTAATTAACATCAACCAAAAATACCAAACAACAACAACACCAAACAAATTTATCCAATTGTGCAATAACAATCATCCCCCACCCCACACTTAAAGATTTGGCATGTCCCAATGTCAAATAATTTAAAGTAGAGTAAGGTAAGGGGACTTTACTGATGCTCAGTCCTGATCAGAGATGGTATCAGGATCGACGTGACACGCTCGTCCTAGCGCCCGGAACTAGCCCATGATCTTTTTCTCTGACCTAGCATTTTGAGTAGCCAAATTGTCAACTCTAGTATTCACGTCAGTGACCGAAGTGCGTAGGCCAGCCATTTCTTGCTCTAGGGTTGTCATGCGGGTACTCCGGCGGGCCTGTGAAAGGCCCGCCTCCTCAACACTCTGCTCTGATGGGGCGGTAGCATGCATAGTTTCCTTATCATCATCATCGGCATCCTCATCATCATCAACCACCACAACCGGCTCTTTCCCAACTGTGATTTTGCTAGCCCTGAATGTGGCTTTCAATGGCAATTTCCCATCTATTATAAGATTCTCAGGAACTCGTGAAGCATGACATAGCTTGGTGACTAGGGAGGGGAAGTAGAACCCTTAGAATATTTCTGGGGAGAAAATGAACATTTCATCCTGAATGAGCTTGGCCACATCAAATTGTGGTGGGTCATAAAACAATAAAACGCCACTACTCGTGGCCCATTAACATCTGTAGTGTTACTGGAGGGCAGCAAATGGTTGTTGATGATTGTGAGCCAACACTTAGCTTCCCAAGTGAGAGATTGGGAGTTCAGGGTAATTCTCTGTTTTATCCATATTGACTCCCGGTCAGCCACACAGATTGTTTCAAGAATTGGTGCCCACCAGACAGTTGGGCGGTGATAAGCATGGTAATAATCCATCCCTCCAGTGAATACCGACAGCATGTACACTCGGCAGATGGTCTCAAGAGACGCATCCACCGGGGTATTTCGCACCGTGACCACCCTATCAACATGCTCCGGGCAATTCACGTAAAACTCCCTTACCATCAGTACATTTGCCTCTTCCGGTTCATCAAAGAAGATGTCCAGCTGACACCTCCTCAATTCTTTAAAGATACTTGGGCGTTCAATTTGTAAGGCATGCCTGTCAATGTGTACTTCAGGTAACAACTTCTTGGATGTCTTTGCGTTAAACCTATCTTGAGCTGCTTTGGAAACAAACCGAGTGCGGTCAAACTGGTCCGCACTAGCCTGACCCCGAGCTCTAGATGAACCTCCTGGTCCACTAGCGGAGGAAACTGTGGAATGTCTCTTCCTTGACTGGTGCATTGTACCTACAAAACATAGGCTACTATTAGTGAGGGTTTGAGTTGTGTGAACCCTGGATGGTTACTCAAACTTCACCACCACTATGGTCACATTAGCCATTATAGCTCCATTGGGGCAATTTCACAAACACCTTGTGAGTATGGTCTATAATTAAACACACCTATCCTATGGAAGCATAAACTCTCCCCCCAAATCAACCATTCTCACTTCACAACTCCACCCCACCACAATTAACTTTACACAACAACACCAAGTTCTTCTCTACAACATTTTACACATTACCCACTAAAAAGAAGAAAATAAAACCAAAAATCTAACTAGAGATACTATAACAATTCAAGCATTAAAAATGCAAAATAGAAAATTACAAGAAGAGAGATGAAAATCTTGACATACCTGGTTCTTGTAGAAGTTGAGAGTAATGAAAGTTGGGGAACAGGGAGGCAGAAGAGAGTGTGTTTGTGTGTGTGTGTGAGAGAGAGAGAAAAGTGGGTTGCTGAGAGATGGGGAGAAGAAGAAGAAGAAGAAAGAGTGTGGGGTTAGGGATTTAGGGTAAGAAGAGGCGTGGGGAAGTGGGGGTGGGTTTTATTATTAGTGGGTTTAGAGTAGAAAAAGAAAAGAAAATAAAAAAAATAAAAAAATTTAGTTACAACTTACCTGGGTCACAGAATTGTCGCAATTCACCGCGGTCGCGCCGCGGTCCCATCTCGGCAGCGATGAAGGGGGGGCGAAACATAATGTTTGCCATTCACCACGGTTGTGTCACGGTCCCGCCATGGTCCGCGGTGAATAGATCGAACAGAAACAGAATGTTTGCGTTTCACCAAAGTCGTGGTCACGGGTTTCCGAAAAAAGTGTTTTTTTACACATCAAGTACAACATCAAAAAAAAGGAAAACATGGGTTCCTCTCACGCAGCGCCTGATTTAGCGTCGCGGCATGACGCATTCTCATATCATCACTCCTCATTTGTGTATTGGGGCTCCTCCAATGTTATCACCACGCTGTCCCCTTCTCCTTCAGTCATTCTCAGGTAATGTTTTAACCTCTGCCCATTCACTGTAAATTTGTTCGTCCCATATTCAGATTTGATCTCCACAGCTTCACTTGGGAACATTTGCACCACTCTAAACGGTCCTGACCACCGGGAATTCAACTTACCCGGGAACAACCTCAATCTTGAGTTGTATAGCAGCACTAATTCTCCGGGTTTGAAGTTCTGATTCAAGATATGCTTGTCATGCATCAGTTTCATCCTGTCTTTATATAGTCTAGCACTCTCGAATGCCTGGAACCGGAATTCTTCAAGCTCATGCAACCCAATAACTTTGTTGTTGTCCGATGTCTCCATGTTTAAGTTCAGCTGCCGCAATGCCCACAGTGCTTTGTGTTCGAGCTCAACCGGAATGTGGCATGCCTTTCCAAATACCAACTTGTATGGTGACATACCAATTGGAGTTTTGAAGGTGGGAATAACCACAATGCATCATCCAGCTTCATCGCCCAATTAGTTCTTGTTGCATTCATTGTTTTTGAGAGGACACTCTTGATTTCTATATTTCACACTTCCACATGCCCGCTTGTTTGTGGGTGGTATGGTGAGGCTACCTTATGGCGAACTCCATACTTCTCCAATAGGCGTGCAAGCGCTCTATTACAAAAATGAGAGCCACCATCACTGATTATGGCTCGGGGGTGCCAAAACATGTGAAGATGTTTTTCTTTAGGAAACTGGTCACCTTTTTCGCGTCATTGGTTGGGAGAGAAAGTTCTTCGACCCACTTGGAGACATAGTTAATAGTAACTAGTATATACTTGTTACCGTATGAGCTGACGAAAGGCCCCATGAAGTCAATCCCCTACATGTCAAACACTTCCACCTCTTGGATTGTAGTCATTAGCATCTCATGATGATGGGATATGTTGCCCGTTATTTGACATTCATCACAGTTTTTGACCCAAGCATGGGCATCCTTGAACAATATAGGCCAATATAGGCCTGATTCCAGCACCTTTGCTGTTGTCTGAATTCCTCTAAAGTGTTCACCATATGGTGAAGCATGGCAAGCCTGCAAAATAGAGGGTTGATCTTGCTCGGGGATACACCGCCAGATCATGTTATCAACACATATTTTGAACAATAAAGGTTCGTCCCAATAATACGCCCGACAATCACGGAAAAAAATTCTCTTTTGAATTGAGGAGAGATTATGAGGTACAATACCACATGCTAAGTAATTAGCAATATCAGCATACCATGGTGCCTCCTCCATTGTCACATGAAGTAATTGGTCATCAAGGAATGTCTCAAGGATATATTCAACCTTCGTTGTCTTTTCTGCCCCTTCCAACCTCGAGAGGTGGTATGATACTTGGTTGTCTGTCCCCTTTCAGTCACGGATCTCCAGGTCAAATTCTTGTAGCAACAGAACCCAGCAAATCAAGCGGGGTTTGGAATCCTTTTTTGCTATCAAGTACCTAATGGTTGCGTGGTCAGTATAAACAATAACTTCCAAGCCAATCAAGTATGACCTGAATTTGTCAAAGTCAAACACTACAGAAAGCATTTCCTTTTCCGTGACCGTGTAGTTCAGTTTTGCACCACTAAGCATCCTGCTTGCATAGTAAATTGGGTGCATAATTCTCCTTGCGCTGCCCCAAAACTGCTCCTATAGCGTAATCACTAGCGTCGCACATCAGCTCGAATGGTTGCTCTTAGTTGGGTACAACAATGATGGGTGCATTCACCAATCTCTTCTTCAGCTTCTCAAATGCTAACTTGCAATCATTATAAAACAAAAGGTTCTGATCTTTTTCTAGCAGTTTACATAAGGGGTTAGCAATTTTTGAAAAATCCTTGATGAACCGCCTGTAGAATCCGACGTGCCTAAGTAAACTTCACACTGCTTTCACTGAAGTGGGTGCTGGGAGCTTCTCAATAATGTCAACTTTTGCATTATCTACTTCAATCCCTTTTCTGGACACTCTATGCTCAAACACTATGTCTTCTTGTACCATAAAACGGCACTTCTCCCAGTTCAGCACCAAATTTGTCTCCACACATCATTTGAGCACTCTCTTAAGGTTGTGAAGACAATCTTTGAATGAATCCCCTACCATGAAGAAATCATCCATAAACACCTCCATAATGTCTTCGACCATGTCGGTGAAGATGGCTAGCATACACCGCTGGAATGTGGACGGTGCGTTGCAAAGTCCAAAGGGCATCCTCCGAAAGGCAAAGATGTCATACGGACATGTGAAGGATGTTTTCTCTCTATCTTTCGGGGCTATTGAGATCTGATTGTACCCTGATTATCCATCCAAGAAACAAAAATGGGATCGCTCAGCTAACCTGTTCAACATCTGGTCAATGAAGGGTAAGGGGAAATGGTCCTTTCGGGTGGTTGCATTTAATTTCCTGTAATCCATGCAAATCCGCCACCCTATTACTGTACGAGTTGAGATCAACTCGTTCTTCTCATTTTGCACAACTGTCATTCCACCCATTTTCGGTACACACTGGACCGGGCTTACCTAATTGCTATTAGAGATGGGAAAGATGATGCTCGCGTCCAGTCACTTGATTACCTCCTTCTTCACTACCTCTTTCATATTCGGGTTCAGCCTTTGTTGATGTTCCCTAGAAGGTTTGCTCCCTTCTTCCAGGCGAATCTTGTGCATACAAAAGGCCGGGCTGTTACCTTTATGTCTTCCATGGTCCACCCAATGGCAATTTTGCATTCCTGCAACACCTGTAATAATTGTTCTATGCACAACTAGCAAATCAGATGATATAATAACAGGAAAAGTAGAATTGGGACCCAATAAAGCATACCTGAGGTGGACTAGAAGCGATTTCAGCTCCAATTGGGGTGGTTCCTCTATTGATGGTTTTGTAGGTGGTGTAGCTCTTTTTTCTAACTTAAGAGACTCGAACTGAGGTTCCCTCTTCTAGAATCCTTGTCCTTCGAGTGTCATGACCCACTTTGCCAGCCTCCACCATCCATCTCCTCTAAATTTGTCAAGAAAGCTCCCCTCTCCTCATGGATTGTTGAACGTTGAATATAACTTCTTTATCGTTCAACCTCATTTTTAACTCCCTAGTTTCACAATCAATCAATTCTCTGCTAGTGGCTAAGAATGGCCTCCCCAGAATGATGGGTATCACTTCATTTACCTGGCAGTCCAGAATAACAAAGTCTGTAGGGAATACAAACTTTCCCACTTGTACCAGCACATCATCAAGAATCCCCGTCGGCCTTTTAACCGTGCGATCAGCCAGCTGCAACAGCATCGACTTCGGTCTAGCTCTGCCAATGCCCAGTTTTGTGTATATTGCCAAAGGCATCAAGTTTATGTTGGCTCCTAAGTCATACAATGCTTTTGCAAATACATAACTCCCAATAGTACATGGAATAGTAAAGCTACCTGGATCAGACATCTTTTGAGCCATGGGTCTTGTCACTACTGCACTACATGTCTGTGTTAGAGTTACTGTGGATCAGTCCTGAAAATCAAATTTTCGTGACATCAGGTCATTCATCATCTTTGAATAGCCTGGTATTTCCCTCAATGCATCCATTAGAGGAATATTTAATTGAATTTGACGAAGCATCTCCATGAATTTCCTGTATTGATCTTCTTTCTTTTATTTTGCTAGTCTTTGAGGAAATAATGCAGGTATCACCCTTTGTTCACTACTTGCCGGCTTCTCTTTGTTGGGGTTTTATGGCACAAGAGGTATCACCTATTTTGCAGCTTGTTCACTCTCTTTTGCCTTACCCTTATCAACCTGAACTTGTTCAACCACCACTCAGTTTGTTCTACTGATTCATCTATATCTAATGGAACTAGAGTGGCTGGTGTAGTCTCTCTTCTAGATTGAGCAACTTCTTGCTCCTTGTCTAAATCTCTTCCATTCCGTAGACTTACTGCCACAGCTGATTCGGGTTTTGATCCTTGGGATTAATGTTCGTGTCGGCTGGCAATGTTCCTTAGGGGCATTTATTTAAGGCCATGGACAGTTGCCCCAGTTGAAATTCAAAATTCTTTATTGCTGAGTCATGCACTGCCAACTTTTCCTGCATCTTACCATTTGTTCCAATGAGTTGTTGCAGCATACCCTGATTTCTACCATGTTGCCATCCTGTTACTGAGGAGGTGGCTAATATGCCAACTATTGCTGGTTCTACTGTGGATAGCCCTGTTGTATCTGATATTGAATCATTTGGCCTTAGGGTGCATACCTCCAGGTTGTGGCATGTTCGGTCTGTACTACTGATTGGGTGCTGGTCTCCATTGTTGTCCTCTTTGTCTCTGACCCCCAAAATTGTTGACATAATTCATATCCTCTCTTAACCCTTGGTTGTCACCTTCTTCACTCTATGAACACACATAAGATAGATTAATGCAAGGTGTACACAGTCCTCCATTTGTTGTGTCAACGATATGCACTTACTTTGTACCCATCTCATCAATCTTCTTTGTCAATATACTTATCCGAGTCATGAGTGTGGCTATGTTCTCTACATGTGAATTATTTGGGTCAAGAGGAACTGAATGCACTATTGTTGCAAGGGTCGTACCTTTCGTCATCCTCCCCGAATTCTGGGACATCTTGTCAAGAAGAATTTTACACTCTGTGAATGTCTTGCTCAAAAATGCACCCCAACTAAAGCTTCTACATTAGCTTTTAAATTGTCTGCTAACCCCAAGTAGAATCTCTGTCCAAGCATCTGGTCCGGAATACCATGGTGGGGATACTTCACTAGCATCCCTTTGAATCTTTCCCAAGTTTTCTGCAAGGTCTTAGTAGGCTGCTGCTTGTACTGCAATATCTCATCAATCTGTCTTGCAGTCTTATCGGACGGGTAAAACTTATTCAGGAACTGCTTGACTAATTCCTCCCAAGTGATAATGGAATTTATTGGGAGCAAATTCAGCCAAGTCTGAGCTTCCCAGTCACAGAAAACGGGAATAGTAACATCTTGATATCTTCTGGGGTCACATTTGGCTACGTTTGGGTCACACAAATAGACAAAAAAAATTTAGGTGTTGTTAAGGGTCTTCAATGTGTGACCCGGAGAATAATCCCTTATTCTACAGAAGATGCAGTATGTTGTTCGTGATTTGGAATGTCTCCGCTTATATTGGGGGCACAACAACGGCGGTGGCCAGGTTGTCAGCTATTGGTTGTGCCCAATCATAAAGTGCAGCTTCTGGCATAAGAGGTGCCACCACTCTGACGTTTGGGTCAGCTTGATCATCCCTGATGTTCCCGTTGACGTTATCTACGTCACCCATTTCAATTTCAAGTTGGTGTGTTTGTTGTGACTGTTTGTTCCTCTTGTTGGCACGGTTTAAAGCCCTGAATTTTTTCTCGGGGTCTGAGAGTCCTTCAAGCAATTTGCCAGTCCTCAAAGAATCTCTAGGCATACACCTGAA